CCGGGTGGAGTTTCTTGTTGTTCCCACGGCCATCCTGGCGTTCCTGGTCAACCATGATTTTACCCCTCTAGAGATCCTCTGGACCTTCTCCATCTACCTGGAGTCGGTAGCCATCCTGCCCCAGCTGTTCATGGTGAGCAAGACGGGAGAGGCCGAGACGATCACCAGCCACTACTTGTTCGCGCTGGGCGTCTACCGCACGCTCTATCTCTTCAACTGGATCTGGCGCTACCACTTCGAGGGCTTCTTTGACCTCATCGCCATTGTGGCGGGCCTAGTCCAGACTGTCCTCTACTGCGATTTCTTCTACCTCTACATCACCAGAGTCCTGAAGGGGAAGAAGCTGAGTTTGCCGGCATAGCCCTGGGCCCGGCCATCCCTCTCCTCGGCGGCCCGCGAGAGGTGGAGGAAGGCAGCAAACAACGAAGAGCCTTCCCGTCCAGGGGTGACTTTTTAAAGAACCAACCTCTCCGCACTCCCTGGCCCCCCTCCTGCCGGGTTTCAGGGGGCGGTGGAGGACCCAAGTCTTGGGGAGCTCAGGACCTGGGGTGTTTGTAGTTTTTTGCCTTTTAGAGAAGAAAAAAAAATCTTTCCACTATTTAGTTTTTGATTCTGATGACTCCTTTCTCTTCTACTCCCTGGCCCCTGATTTTTATAAACTGTTTTTGAGTGTCCTGTGGGGTGGGGCAGGGTCGGAGATCTTTTCCCTCCCCCAAAGCCCCTCGACTCCCTTGCAGACCCTAACCCCCAGCCCTGCCCGTTGCCAAACACTAAACCTGCACACACCCACCTGTCTGACCTCCCATCGTGGCCAAGAACGCAGCCTCCCCACCAAACCCCTCAAAGTTCAGGATTGGGGAGAGGGAGGAGGGGAGGGACGGTCTCCCTGACTTTTCAATATAATTTTTTTCCAGAGTTTGGGGTTTTTTGGTCTTGTCCTCATTTTTTGACAATTTAGCGGGGGACGAGGGGGCCAGACGTGGCAAAGGGGGTTGGCCTGAGGGTCACTGTGGCTCAACAGCCACATTTTTGTACAGAATTGATGGTTGATTCTTTGTTCTCTTGAAATAAACCGAGGAAAATGAAAAAAATAAAAAAGCAAAACCCATCTATTTGCTGCCTACAAGATACCCATTTCAGACCTAAAGACACAGATTGAAAGCGAAAGTGATGGAAACGCATTTATCATGCAAATGGAAGTAAAAAGAAAGCTGGGGCAGCAATACTTATCTCAGACAAAACAGACTTTAAAACAAGGACTGTAACAAGAGACAAAGAAGGACACTATATAATCATAAAGGGAACAAGAAGATATAACAATTGTAAATATTTATGCATCCAACAGGGGAGCACCCAAATACATAAAGCAACTAATAACAAACATAGAGAAAGTAATTGACAGTAATACAATAATAGTAAGGGACTTTAACACCCCACTTATATCAACAGATAGATCATCCAAACAGAAAATCGACAAGGAAACAGTGGCTTTGAATGACATATTGGACCAGATGGATCTAACAGATATACTCAGAACATTCCATCATAAAACAGAAGAATACACATTCTTTTCAAGTGCACATGGAACATTCTCCAGAACAGATCCCATATTAGGCTACAAAACAAGTCTCAACAAATTGAAAAGTCAAACTCATACTATGAATCTTTTCCAACCACAATGCTATGAAACTAGAAATCAACAACAAGAAAAAATCTGTAAAGATCACAAATACATGGAAGTTAAATAACACGCTACTAAACAATGAATGGGTCAACCAAGAAATCAAAAAGGAAATTAAAAAAAAAATACATGGAGACAAATGAAAATGAAAACGCATGATTCAAAGTCTTTGAGATCCAGCAAAAGCTATTCCAAGGGGGAAGCTTATAGCACTACAGGCCTACCTCAAGAGCAAGAAAAATCTCAAATAAACAACCTAATCTTACACCTAAAGGAGTTAGAAAAAGAACAAACAAAATACAAATCCAGTAGAAGGAAGAAAATAATAAAGATTACAACAGAAATAGCTGAAATAGAAACTAAAAAGCCAATAGAATGGATCGATGAAACCAGGAGCTGGTTCTTTAAAAAGATCAACAAAATTGATAAACCTTTAGCCAGACTCATCAAAAAAAGCAGGGAGAGGGGACTCAAATAAACAAAATCAGAAATGAAAGAGGAGAAATAACCCACACCACAGGAATACAAAGGATTATAAAAGAATATCCTGAAAAATTTTATTCCAACAATTTGGACAATCTAGAAGAAATGGATAATTCCTAGAAACATATAACCTCTGAAAACTGAATCAAGAAGAAAATGAACATTTGAACAGACAAATTACCAGCAATGAAATTGAATCAGTATTCAAAAAACTCCCAATAAACAAAAGTCCTAGACCAGACAGCTTCACAGATGAATTCTACTAAACATTTAAAGAAGAGTTAATAATACCTATTATTCTCAAACTATTCCAAAAAACAGAAGAGGAAGAAAAGCTTCTAAATTCATCTTATGAGGCCGGCATTACTCTGATACCAAAACAAGATAAAGACACTACCAAAAAAAGAGAACTACAGGCCAATATCTCTGATGAATATAGGTGCAAAAATCCTCAACAAAATATTAGCAAACTGAATCCAACAATACATTAAAAAAAATTATTCACCACTATCAAGTTGGATTTCTTCCCAGGATACAAGGGGCGGTCCAATATTTGCAAATCAATCAACCTGATACATCACATTAATAGAAGACAGGATAAGAACCATATGATCCTTTCAATAGGTGCAGAAAAAGCATTTGACAAAGTACACCATCCATTCATGATAAAAACCCTCAACAAAGTAGGTTTGGAGGGAACATACCTCAACATAATAAGGACAATCTATGAAAAACCCACAGCTAACATCATACTCATTGGTAAAACACTGAGAACTTTCCCTCTAAGTTCAGGAACAAGACAAGAGTGTCCACTCTCATCACTTTTATTCAACATAATACTAGAAATCCTAACCACAACAATAAGACAACGAAAAGAAATAAAAGGCATCCAAACTGGTAAGAAAGGGGCACCTGGGTGCCTCAGTAGGTTAAGCATCTGCCTTCGGCTCAGGCCATGATCCTGGAGTCCCGGGATTGAGCCCTACATCAGGCTTTCTTCTCAGCAGGGAGTCTGCTTCTCCCTCTGCCTCCCCGCCCCCCGCTCCTGTTCTCTCACTCGCTCGCTCACTCTCTCTCTCTCAAATAAATAAATAAATAAATAAATAAATAAATAAAATCTTAAAAAAAAAAAACCCAAACTGTTAAGGAAGAAGTAAAACTTTCACTATTTGCAAAAGACAGGATACTCTATATAAAAAAACCCTAAAGACTCCACCATGAAACTATTAGAACTGATAAATGAATTCAGTATGGTCACAGGATACAAAATCAATATACAGAAATCCATTGCGTTTCTTTTTTTTTTTTTAAGATTTTATTTATTTATTGGACAGAGAGAGACAGCGAGAGCAGGAACACAAGCAGGGGGAGTGGGAGAGGGAGAAGCAGGCTTCCTGCTGAGCAGGGAGCCTGATGTGGGACTCGATCCCAGGACCCTGGATCATGACCTGAGCCGAAGGCAGACGCTTAACGACTGAGCCACCCAGGCGCCCTCCATTGCGTTTCTATACACCAATAATGAAGTAGCAGAAAGAGGAGTTAAGAAAATAATCCCATTTACAGTTGCACCAAAAATAATAAAATACCTAGGAATAAACTTAACCAAGGAGGTCTGAGAACTATAAAACAGTGATGAAAGAAATTGAAGACAACACAAACAAATGGAAAGATATCCCATGCTCATGGATTGGAAGGACAAATATTATTAAAATGTCCATCCTACCCAAAGCAATCTAAATATCTAATGCAATCCCTATTAAAATACCAACAGCATTTCTCACAGAACTAGCACAAACAATCCTAAGATTTGTATGGAACCACAGAAAGACCCTGAATAACCAAAGCAATCTTGAAAAAGGAGAACAAAACTGGAGGTCTCACATTCCCAGATTTCAAGATATGCTACAAAGCTGAGTAATCAAGACAGTATGGTACTGGCACAAAAACAGACACATAGATCAAAGGACCAGAATAAAGAGCTTATCAATAAACCCACGATTATATGGTCAATTAATCTTCAACAAAGAAGGAAAGAATATGCAATGGGAAAAAGTCTCTTCTATAAATGGTGTTGGGAAAACTGAACGGCTATATGCAAAAGAATGAAAGTGGACCACTTTGTTACACCATACACAAAATTAACTCAAAATAGATTAAGGACCTAAATGTGAGACCTAAAACCATAAAATCCTAGAAGAGAGCACAGGTAGTAATTTCTTTGACATTGCCCATAGCAACATTTTTCTAGATGTGTCTCCTGAGGCAAGGGAAACAAAAGCAAAAATAAACTATTGGGACTACACCAAATTAAAAGCTTCTGCACAGTGAAGGAAACAATCAACAAAACAAAGACAACCTACTGAATGGGAGAAGATCTATGCAAAGGACATATCCAACAAAGGGCTAGTATCCAAATGTACAAAGATCTTTTACAACTCAACACCAAAAAGATAAATAATCTAATTTAAAAATGGGCAGAAGACATGAACAGGTATTTCTCCAGAGAAGACATACAGATGGCCAACACACACATGAAAAGATGTTCAACATCACTCATCATCAAGGAGATGCAAATCAAAACAACAATGAGATATCACCTCACATCTGTCCAAACGGCTAAAATCAAAAAGACGAAACAATATGTGTTGGCAAGGGTGTGGAGAAAAAAGAACCTTTGTGCACTGTTGGTGGGAATGAGAACTGGGGTAGCCACTGTGGAAAACAGTATGGAGGTTTTTCAAAAAATTAAAAATAGAACTACCATATGATCCAGTAATTCCACTACTGGGTATTTAGCCAAAGAATATGAAAGCACTAATTCCAAGGGATATATGCACTCCTATGTTTATGGCAACATTATTTATAATAGCCAAACTATGAAAGCAGCCCAAGTGTTTATCAACTGATGAATGGATAAAGATGTGGTAGATATATACAATGGAATATTACTCAGCCATAAAAAGAATGAAATCTTGCCTTTTGCAACAACATGGCTGGATCTAGAAGGTATAAGGTTAAGCGAAATAAGTCAATCAGAGAAAGACAAATACCATCTGATTTCACTGGTATACGGAATTTAAGAAACAGAACAAATGAACAAAAAAAAATTCAAAAATTTGTTCAAAAAACAAATGAACAAAAAAACCACTATTAATTATAGAGAACAAGCAGATGGTTATGGGGGTGGTGAAATAGGTGAATGGGATTGGAGCACACTTACGATGAGCGCTGAGTAATGTATAGAACTGTTGAATCGCTATATTGTACACCCGAAACTAATAGAACACTATATGTTAACTATCCTGGAATTAAAATTTTTAAAAAATGACCGTGCAATCTGAAACCATGCAAAACTATCCTAATAATCAGTAGGAAAAATTACACTTCTTCCATGGCTTTTAGTATTTTTGTCAAAATATTAAAAACTCTCTTACTGTAAGTAATAACTGTATAGAGAATTGAAGAAAATAGTAAAATTAACACTTATTAGTACACTGTAATTTAAAATATTAGAAATATTGACAAAAAGTCTTCTTTCCTTGTAAAAACAAAACTTATCAGACCGGTTTGAACAGTGCTTGCCTTCTTCCCAAGATATAACATGATAAAAGTAAGCATATTTTCCTTGCTTTAGCAAACTGTCCTACCCTTTCTAAGTTTGGATCAGCTTCAAACATTTTATCCTTTGTGCTTTCAATACCATGGAATATCTCTGAGAATTCTTTTAATATGAAGATTTTTGCTGGTGTCAATTTAGGACATCTTCCTCCTTCTCATCACAACTGCTTTCTTCATTTATGTCAATAAGTTCGCCTTTGCTAAGTTCCCCTGACTGCATGGTGACAGTCTTCAATGGTGCCCGATGTCAACATCCCCACGATCAGTTATTTCCTCTATGAGTCCATCTACTTTGGGTTCAGATCCTAC